CCTGGCCACATTTTAGGAAACATATTAATAAGGTGGGAAGCATCTAAAGGGAATTGGGTGAAATAAATTTATATGTTTAACTTGGGGAAGAGATTTAAGGGGAACATGATAAATGTTTTCAAGTATTTTAAGGACTTTTGTGCAAGAGGGATTAAGCTTTTTCTTCTTGACCCTAAGGTACGACGGATAGAAATTACAGAGAAAAAGATTTAAGCTTAATGTAAGTGAAATTTTGCTAATAATAACAGCGGACAAATTTATAGCCTTAAGGTTAAGTGATTTGTGCAGGGTCACGTAGCTAGTAAGTTTCTGAGGCCAAATTTGAACTCTGGTCTTCTGACTCAGTACTTTGGTTCAGTACTTTGTTCACTGTGCCATCTAGCTGCCTCTAATAATTGGAATGGGATTGCCTTGGCAGGTAATTCATTGACTCTCCCTAGAAGTCTTCGAAGCAAAGGTGAGCTGCAGAAGGGATTCTTGGACAGGTATGGGTTTGACTAGCTCTCCAGCTTCTGACTGACTCTAAGTGAGAGAGATAGCGCAGTGTCCTGGCCTCTTGTCAATCACAGAGCCAGAGAGGTGACTTGAGTGGAAAGGTCACACTACTCCTGTACCTAGACTCTGATAATCTCCTTATCAGCCTTCTCATCTTGTTGCTCAGAACTGGGTGACTTCAGTGAAATTGAAGATTTGAAGGTAACTGTTTGCAAATAAACCCTCAGTCCTTTATCTTCCCTACTTCTCCCAGGAAACTGAGAACTGTCTGTTCTCAAAGAAGCTTGCCAGCCCCCACCCTGCTGTTGCCCTAAAGACGCTCCTGGCCCTTATGTGAAGTTGCAAAATTTAGGCAGCATCAAAGCCTACGGGAGAAAGAGAACAAAGCTTATTGACAGTCTCACCCAGTATTCTCCAGGATGAAACCTTTCCTATAAGGGTGGGGGGCAGGGACAGGGGTGTGATGATCAAGGGATTGAATCAGGAGGCATTGACCTAAGGTTACTTCCGGACTCCTAGAGATAGTCCTTCTCCAGCCCAAATCCTTCTCTAGCCTACCTAGGGAGACTAAGCAGTGTGTGGTCCAATGGAAAAAGGACTGGATTTAGAATCAGAGCACCTGGGTTCAAATTATGGCTCTGCCATTTCTACCTGTCTGACCAGGAACAATTCATCGAAACTTCCTGGGCCTTTTTTTCCCCCCATCTGTAAAATATGGGAATTGCGCTAGATGATCACTAATTTTTTTTTGTTTGTTTTAAGGAAAGTGGAGTTAAGTGACTTGCTCAGGGTCACACAGCTAGCCTCAAGTGTTTGGTGTGAGGCCAGATTTGAACTCAGGTCTTCCTGACTCCAGGACCGGTGCTCTATCCTTCACCACCAAGCTGCCCCAGGTACTTTCCATCTCTTAAAAACTATGATGTTTGGTTCTCTCTCTACCTGGACAAGTATCTACTCTCTCTCTGCCTTTTAAAAGCTCCCCCTTGAATGGTCAAAGGATTCAAGTTCTTCCAAAAGGACCGGAAGATGGCTCTGATCCAGATGGGTTCAGTGGAAGAGGCCATTCAGTCCCTTACTGACCTTCATAACCATGACCTTGGAGAAAACCACCACCATTTAAAATTTGGGAAAGCACAAGACAGAATGAACCTGACTGATGAGAACCCCAGGGTTTCAGCCAGGTCATGCTGAGCACCTGGGATCACTTCCATCATTCCAGATTTTAAAAAGCCACTTTAAAAGCAGCTGATGTGACCTTAAAAGACCAGAAATTTTATTTTTTTAAGTGAATCAGTTTACCTGTTTTTAAAAAAATTAAATCTAATTCACATTGTTAACCTTGCGGTGGTGGGATAACAATCTTGGTGACTGTACAAAAGCTACATGATGAAAAATCACAAGTTAAGTTAACACTTTTTTGGAAATTGCTCTGGGAATTTTCTCCCCATCCCCTTAAAAAAATCCTAACAAATTAAAAAAAAAAAAAGCTCCCCCTGGCTGTACAGGCTGTGGGCTACCCCTGTAGGCTCCTGGATGGAAACAAAACTATATTTGTCCTTTTCCAGTGCAGTGCCTAGCTATATGGTGCAGTGCTGGAAGTGAAGTCAATAAGTCCCGAGTTCAAATTCGTTCTCAGACTGTATGATCCTAGGCAGAGTAGCTTTGCCGCTGTCTGCCTTAGTTTCCTCAACTATAAAATGAGGATAATAATAGCACCTACCTCCCAGTGTTGGTATGAAGATCAAATGAGATATTTGTAAAGCCCCTGGCACATAGTAGGCGCTTAATAAATGCTTGTTTCCTTCTTTCCTTCCTCCCTCACGGATCAACACGCTCCTATTAGCGGGATCTGATAGTGTCCACTCTAACTGCCACAGTCAGCATCTAAGAGCCTCCAATTCCGCCCACCCTTTCAGGACCGGAGACTGCTGACCCGGAGCAGTCACCAGAAGGATTTCATCTGTGTACCCCTGGGGAGCCTGAGAGGCGAGAGTGGTTTTAACCCCGGACGGAAAGAGGAACATCATTAAGTGTTTACTCGACTCTTTCATTTCTTCCAAGTCTCTCTAGCGCCCTTTCCCCAAACCCAACCTGCAGGCTCCGTCTGGAAGCGTCTATAGGGGCAAAGAGGTGAGGGTGGGGGGCGGGAGGGACAGGGAGAGAGAAGCCAAGTAGTATCCTAGTATCCGGGGAAACTGAGACCCCGCGCTGGGAGCAGCGGGTGCAGCGGGGATGTGAACAGAAAAGAGCAGGGGGGAGGCAGGGAGGCAAGGGCGAGCGCTCTCTCTGACATCCCAGACCCCCAGTTGGGGGAAGAAATGTGGCCCAGGCTCTACCTCCGTCTAGGCTACACCTCTAGGGACTCCGCTCCCGACGCCCGTCCAGGGGGGGCAGGGGGGGGAGGGGGGGGGGGGGGGGGGGGGTGAGGGGGGGGGGAGGGAGGAGGGGGAGAGGAGGGAAGAATGGGTCCTCACCATGTTTGCCCTTCCGGCCTCCCTGCAAGACCAAGGATCTGGCATCCAGGTACACTTGAAAACAAGCTGCAGCTAGTGGAGTGCACGGGGGATAGCAGGCACAGTGCTGCTCGGGGGGTGCGTGAGGACACCAGACACGATACTGTTGGGGAGGGGCGCATGGGGGCAGACAGCAGGCAGGGTGCTACGCGAGGGTGCGTGGGGAGCGGGCACCAGACACGCAACTGCGGGAATGGTGGGGAGCAGAGCCGTCCCCCACCGGGGGGGGCAGGGCCTGGATATGTAGGGTGGGTTCTGGAGAATGGATTTAGCCCCCCTTGGTTGAGCCTTCGGAGAGGTGAAGGTTCCCACTCCATCCCCACTTCGCTCCAGGTGAGCATACCGAGAGGGAAAGCACCAACCGGGGGACTGCGTAGCCCGGGGTCCACCCCACTCCTCCAGCCCCCAGCCTCCTGCTCAGTGAAGAGTAGGGCCCTTCCTTCACCAGCATCCGAATAGCTGGGAAGAAAACAAGCAAAGTGCTTTGCAAATATTCTCATTTGCTCCTCACACCAACCCTACTGAGGTAGGTTCGATTATTACCCCCATTTTACATTTAAGGAAAGGGAGGCAGGCAGAGGTTAGGTGATATAAAGTTTGAGCAGGAGGAAGGATCCTTGGAAGTCAAGTCCAACCCCTCATTTTAGATGAAGAAACTGAGGCTTTGATTTGAAGAGGCTCTTGCAAGGTCCCAGAGGTATGTGAGGTGCTCTCAGTACCAGTACTGCATGTGGCCCTGCTAAAGGGGCATGACTGGGGTCAGGACAGGCCCCAGCTTCATCACCCACACTCCACTTAGCTGTGAAGTGCTCTATGTCGCCCCTTCACGATAAACTCCAGGGGCTCTACTTACCTCCAGGATCAAATATAAAACACTTTGGCATTTTAATCCCCTCTTATCATAAAGTGATCCCTTTCTACCTTTCCAGGTTTCTTACACTTTAATTCCTTCCACATTATACCCACTGGCTTATTTGCTGTTCTTCCAACACAATCCTCAGCTTCCCTATTCTGTCTTTTCATATGGCTGTCCTTTCATGAGTCAGCTAAAATCTCACCATCTAGAGGGTGGGTGTCTTTCCTGGTACCTTCTTGACCCCCATCCTCTTACCTCTAACATTATTTCCATTTATACTGTATATGTTCAGTTGATCAATCAACTGATCAATAAATTAATAAACATTTATTAAGTGCCTTTGTACAGCAAAGCACTGTGCTAAAACTCTGGGGATACAAAAAGAGGCAAAAAAAACCAGTCCCTGCCCTCAAAGAACTTACAACGAGGAGACAACATGCAAAGAAATATATACAAGACAAGCTATATACAAGATAAATAGTAAATAATTAACAGAAGGAAGGTACTAGAATTAGGAGGGGTTGGGAAAAGCTTCTGGTAGAAGTAAGGTACATAGTTATTTGCATATTGTCTCCCCTATTAGAATGTGAACTCCTTGAGGGCTGGGATCCTGTTTTTTTGTATTCCCCACTTAGTACAGGAACTGGCACATAATGATTTATAAATGCTTGTTTATTTATAAATGCCTGAACTGTGGATCAATATAGCCTTCATCTGTGAGGGTGGAAGGGAGAATTAGAAACATGATGTAAGCACTGTTTTTTGACTCTGTTCAAGGCTTCCTTACCAACCACTAACCCCTTGAATCACTTACTGACCCTTGGCTAATGAAGATGCCCCTGTCAGGGAGGAAGTGGGTATGGGTTGCCCTGACATTCACACCCTTAGAGGTGGTTAGTTAGGGTCAGGGTCCAGTCGGTGACCAGAGTAGAGATTCAATCCGTAGTCAAGGCTAGTCTATGACTGAGGTTACAGATCAGTCTGGGATCACAGGGTTGCCTATTAGTCTGCGGCCAGGTTTACAGGCCTCTCTTTGGCTAGATCAGATCAGACTGTAGCTGGGATTAGATCACAGTTTGTGGCTGGGGAAACAAGGTGAATGTTTGAACCCATGTATATTATTAACACTAATCAAACAGATGACCAGGCAGACATTTATTAGGAATCTTGAAGGCCATGGCACAGTCTTGACAATCACCCCCCTCCCCAGGGTCTCAGCTTTCATGAAGCATCTCTCCTTCCATTGCCCATATCTGGCTTGGTGTTCTATGGGGCGGAACCTCTGGCACTGTGATCAAGCAGGTGTTGAACATCAGTCTTAGGAAGTGGGGAGGTTGTGGGGGGAGGGGCATAGGGAAGAGTTCCCCTAGTCTGAACTGCAGCCTTCAGCACCAGCCCTTCCCTCAGCTCCTGAAACTCCTTCACGTGTCTTGACTTTGCAGAGAAACCAGCAATCTAGATGCCTGCTGCCCCATCCTAGGGGACAGTATTTGAGGAAGCAGCTATAAAGTCCTATGTATAAATAGAGGCCTTGACCTTCCTCCTACGAGCAGCACTTTGGGCTCCCCCAACTGCCGAGAGGCAGTATTCCTGAGGATAAGCCTGGGAACACTGTCCAAGCCAGGCAAGGCAGGAAACGTGAGAGCCTGGAGGAGGACAGGGGCAATCCACTGAGCCCTCTGGTGCCATCCCCTACGACGGTATGTTTGAATTCCACAGAATAGTGAAGAGGACAGGCAAGGACAGGTGCAGGAAGAGTGAGGTGTCCACTATAATAAGTTGACCTTGGCCACCACTTGCTTGCAGCCTGTGACAGCAAACTCCCCTCCCTTGGTGGTGTAGTAACTGAGCTGACCTGCCAGGCTCTCGATGTGGCTCTGGTCCGGGTAGAAGCCTTCCCCCACCATCTCATCCAGGAAGCAGTTCATGATGTCCAACTTCTCTAGCAAGACAAAAGGGACCACCTCAGCAGTCTCCCAGAGCGGGTGGGTGCTTGCCAGGAGGGCGTGGACAGACTGGCTGAGCTCCTCCCTGCAGCGCTGTGGGGTCAGCTTGCTGGAGATGTTTTGCAGAACAAAGCGTGTGACCTCGCTGCCGCCAATACTGCTGATGAGCACATAGATGGCATTGAGGAACTCATTGGACTGCTGAGGCTGCAGGAAGCCATGCAGAGTGTCTAGCAGGCCTGGAGACATGAACTCTACCTCGTCCAGGATGAACACAGGAATCTTTTCTTCTACCTCTGCCCGGGTCACCATGTCGGTGATCCTCTCAGACAGATCCTGCTGGCAGGCTAGGCCCTCCTGATGGTCCGGACAGTGATGCATCACATAGTACTGCAACACAAAATCCCCCTCCATCACCGAGCGGAAGTGTTTTGCCAACAGCCGGCCCACGTGGCTCTTACCCACTCCACTTGGGCCGTTGAACGAGATGACCAGAGGCTGGCTGTGGATGTGCGTGGCCAAATAATCCCGCAATAGTTCCATAATGCTGTCCATGGCGGCCTTCTGGCCAAACACGCCCCGCTGCAGGGCTTTCTCCAGCCCATCGAGGTCATACTTCTGCAGATTGTCATCAAGGTTCTCGATGGCGTTGAGGATTTGAATGAAGACAATGGCCACCAGCAGAAGCAGGCAGCGTTTGGCCTTGCTCTTCTGCTCCGTCGGGAGGTACTTCCGAGAGCTCTCTGGGTACAACACAACTCGGGATTTACGGCGCTTCTTCTTCCTCCTGAAAGACGATTCCACGGGGGCCTCAAAGGTGAAATACTGGGGCTTCTCAAAGTTCATGCGGTGGGGGAAGTGGGACACGGGGGTGCTGTTCAGCTTGGCCCGGTCCAGGGAGATCTGTCTCTGAAGCAGCCGCGATGGGGACGGGGTCAGAGCCAGGGACGACTCCCCAGGGAGGTTGGATCGCATGCGGCTCTTGCGCAAGATCCGGAATTTCCGGCGCAAGCGAATGACGGCCCTCACCGGTGAGGAGACCATGCCCCCTGAGGGAACCTGGGCAGGTCCGGGGCTTGGCTGACCTCCTTCCATCGCTCTTGATGACACACCATTCAGGTTGTCTTTCCTAGAACAAGAAGATCACATTAAGAGCCTTCTCAGAGGTCTGCCAGGGACATCTCAAGATATCACTGGTACCTGTACCCTGTGTTCCTGGCCTTCTCAGCCCTAAGCAACTCCATAGCTAGGTGCAGGACTACAACCAATGGGAAAACAGATAATAGATCTACCAAAGAGAGGCTCAGAAAAGAAGTATGATGGAATCTTAAGATCATTAGCTCTCAGTTCCCATCACCCCAGCCTGATTCCATCTTTCCAACATCCCAGCTGCAAAGGGAGAGGGACTGGAGGTAGAGGTGGAGGTGGTAGAGGGAGATGGACTAGTGGATAGAGCCCTGGGCCTGGAGGCAAGAAGGCCTGGGTTCAAATCTAGCCTCAGAAGTTACTTGCTGTGTGACCCTAGGCAAGTCATTTAACCTGTCTGCCTCGATAGGGAGTAGTAAGCAATGACCTCATAAAATTGTTGTGAGGTTAAAATGAGATAATATTTGTAAAGTGCTAAGCACAGTGCCAGGTACATAGTAAGTGCTTCATTAATGCTTGTTTCTTTCCTTCCTTTGTCCCTGGCTCCTACTGTTCCTCCTACAAGAAGTAGTACAGTTTTGGTGAATTGGATTTGGATACAGAGGACTTGGGTTCCAATCCTGGTTTTCCTATTTAAAACATTGAACAAATTGATTTCTCTCTCAGGGCTTGGATTTTTTTCTCTGTAAAATGACAGGGTTAGTTGGACTCTAGATAAGCTCTAAGGCCCCTCCCACTGGACAGACAGGACAACCACCTTCTCAAATCCCAGGCTCTCCTGAACTGGGCAGAGCAGGTAACTGTGGTTGTTCTCAGAGATCACAAAGGATCTCAGATGCTCTCCCAGAGCCATGCTGGGAGGTGGCTACAGCTCGGCTCTCAGCCAGGTTGGGCTAGGCCAGTGATGGGGGGGGGTGGGTATCAATGAGGTCATTGCTATTATGACCACTCCCTATCGAGGCAGACAGGTTAAATGACTTGCCTAGGGTCACACAGCAAGTAAACTTCTGAGGCTACCATCAGGATGCCTGAGCCTCACATGCAAATCCTTCAGAGCAGAAGGGAATAAATGCAGCTCTGTTTAGTGAATGAGGAAGTGGCCAGGCCTGACAGTGGGAGGGGTGAGTGGTTCTGTGGCTTTGCTTGCCTAGAGGGCTTCCTGACAGAGGGGTCACTGGCAGGGTCCAGAAGTAGATAAGGCTTTGACTCCATCTCCTCCCCCATCCAGGGCCAATGCTATGATCACTGGGCTTCTAGGGAGGAGGTCCCTGGGCTGGGGGTGGGGGAAAGAGGGCAGGAAGGCCCAAGGACTGAAACCACATTGCCAATCTCCTTCCCTTGAAAGTTCCAGCTCCCCTACTCCTATAATTGGATAAACAAACACTGTCCCCCTAGGTTCCCTCCTTAAACTGATCTTCTCCCTTAACTACACAGTCAGCAGGACACTAGTGAAGGATAAAGGCTGTAAGAGCAGCATTAGCTCCTCCCCAAGCAGACCCCCAGAGGACCCAGGGCTAGGGGGTGGAGAAGAAAGTCCCTAGGGCATTTCTTGGGGCTAGAAAAATGGCAAGGATGCAATCTCATCTGCTAGCTCACAGTGTGAGGGTCTCCAAACCACCCCCAGGATGGACCCCTCTCCTGAAAGCCCCTTGACCTCCCCATACCCACAGACATGGGGGAGGGGTAGAAGAAACCCCACCCAATTCCTCCACCTCCACTTGAGGCAGACACAGGGAGAGAGATGGAGACAGTAAGATACAAGGAGAGACATACATAGCCAGGCTCAAGAGGAGACAGAGACAATCATACAGAGAGATTAAGAAAGAAAAAGCCACAGAGAGGTGACAGAAACAGACAAAGAAAAACCAGAGAAGAAGGAAAAAGAGAGACTGATACTGAGAGACAGAGAGAGACACTAAGACAGATAAGGAAAGAGGCAGAGACAGAGTGAGATGTAAAGAAAGAATGAGACAGGACAGAGGCAGACAGAAAAAGACAGCCACACACAAAGAAACAGCAAGACACAAAGCCAGCTAGTGAGAGACAGGACAGCCACAAGGCCTTCCCCAGCCCCAACCAGTCCATACCTTGTGTGATCAAGGTCAGGCCCTGAGCCAGCCACCCCAGGGCGCCCTGGTCCCCTGCTCTGCCCTCCTCCCAAGAGGCCAGCCGTTCCAGCTGTTCAGGAAGCAGGAAATGCCAAAGCCTCCCTGGGCTGGGGGCTCCCAGGCCGTCTTGTGGAGGAAGGAGAGAGCTCTAGGGAAAAAGGTCAGGAGACTGCATTCAGTGGCATCAGGGAAGACGGGCTTCAGGAAATCTCCAGCCAGAACCCAGGACCAGGACACCTGCCTGTCGGGGAGAGAACCAGGAGGGAGAGGAAGCTGATGAAGAGGCTTCCGCCTCTATGCAAAGGAAGTGAGTCAGGGGGGGCGGGCGGGACGCAGAGGAATGAACCGAGGCCTCAGAGCCCTCACCTCAGGAGGGAGGGGTCATCCCTGTCCCAGGGGAATCACTCCAGTCTGTTCAAATGGGATGACTCCTCCTCACTCTTTGCACCATTTCCTTCTCTAGCCCATGGATGTTTCTTAGAGACCTTCCTCTGACACCCCTGAGACCACTCCCCCCACCACCTGGCTCAGCCTCTCCCAGTTCCCTCCCCCTCCTAGGAGATCATGTACTTGGGAAGGGGGGCAAGAACGACACTGTCTACAATCTATGAGAGTGTAGGACCCTATTGTGATTCCCCCGTGGAATTTACTGACACTTTCTCCTGGACTGAAGGTCAAGGGCTGTTGCCTCTAGGGGGTTGACAGTGGGCATCATTCAGGGATTTCTCCCCATTCCTCCTCCATTGGTCTGTCTCCCCCCCTCCCTCTCTCTCTCCTCTCTTTCTCTGGACTCCTTATTTCCCTTCTCTCTCACTCTCCTGTCCTCTCTCATGAGCTTCTACCTTCTAGGGCCCATCCCTGCTCTGGCTCTTCACCTGTTTCTCTGCCCCTCCCCTTCTAACATCACCGTGTCCCCGCCCCACTTCAGTCTCTGACACATCCACTACATTCTACTCCCACCATTGTCTGAAGGGAGCTCCAAACCTCTCTGTCTGGACAAAGTGTACAAGTCTGTGGGTCCTCTACTCTGGGATAAGGGGAACCCCGACGGGCCAGATCCCCAAGCCCGGTAGGGAATCACCCCATCTCCTAGGTCATATATATTCAAGACCTTCCATAAATGAGCCCCCACCCACCCAGTCCTTCAGTCAATGAATATTTATTGAAGCATGAATTAGGGTAAAGTCCAGGGCTTTCAATGTTGGGAGATCTGGGTTTGTATTCCTGGCACTGCTTACTTACTAGCTGTGTGACTTTGGGCATGTAAATCTCCCTCTCTGAAACCCTGTTTCCTCTCCTGTAAAACAAGGCTACTAAAGTTTGCCCTGCCTATCACAGGGTTGTTGTAAAGGACAGACTACATGTACATATGAAAGTGGGGCACCACACAGGTGAGTTCCTGTTTTCACTAACTCCCAATGCTGTCTGATACACACCAGACTCCCCATCATCCCCAGCTCAGTCTAACTTTCATTTCAGCTCCAAGTCTATTCGTGTGGCTCCCTCTGCCTGGCCCTGAATCACCCCCAGACTTCCATAAGATAGTCTAAGACCACTGCACCTCTCCGTAGAGTCAAAGAATAACTGAATTTTGGAGCTGGGAGAGACCTTGGGCCATCTTGTGTAAGCCATACCCACCCCCCCCAAAAAAGAACCCTCCCACTACTGCATGAACGACAAATGGTCATCTCTCCTCTACCTAAGGAAGGGGAAACTACAATTTCCCCAGGTAGCTCATTCTACCTTGGGCCAATTCTAATTATTAGGAAGTTTTTCCCTTTATCCTGCCTAAATCTACTCTTTTGTAACATCTACTCATACTTCTTTTTCTGCCCTCTGGGCCTAAGCAGAATAAAGCTAAACATCTTTTCACAAGAGAGCTTTTCAAGTACTTAATGACAACTATCACTTTTCCCTGTGAATCTTCTCTTCCCCAGGCTATGCATCCCTAAATCAAGGCTCTTCACTATTCCAGTTCCTCCAATAAATGTTCTCCAGTTCTCCATCAACAAGTTAGCCAGGCTTCTTACCTCAGAAAATGTATCTGCTCCTAACTTTCTTGTAATTCTTTTGTTTAGGTTGGAAACCAGGAAATGACCTGCTTTTCTACGAGTAATCCCGCATCCTTTGGGTTGAATTTCTTACCAAACTGGTCCTGATGACATCAGGTCCCAGGGCCTGTGAGGGGCCCTACACCTACCTCTGAACACCATGGTATGGAAAACTGGAGGGCTCTGACCCTCCTCCGGGAGTTTCACAGTGAGCTGCTCCAGACATCATCACATTTGTATCAGGACTTGAGCCCCACATGGGTAGCTGCCTCTGGAACATCTCCATCATCACCTGGAACTCAACATGCCCCGTAAAAGAGTCAGGACTTCCCCGCTGCAAACTGTATGGCTCTCCCACCTTCCTCGCTCCTGGCAGTAGTACCCCCACCTCCCAGCCCCTCAAGAGGGAAAAGCCAGTGTCACCCTTCAGTCCTTGTCTTTCCCCCCGCCCCTCTACCCAGTCACAAAATTCTCTTCCTTCTTTCTTCCTACTTCCCTCACGTTGTTCCCTCCTCTCCATTTTCATAATGATCACCCCCAAACAGGTCCTCAGCCCCCTCCACCCAGACTGCAGCCTCAGCAGCCTCCTCACCCTCCCCTCCCCACTCCATCCTGCTTACACTGACAGGTTTGGGTTTGGGTTTTTTTTAACTGGACTTCTGATTCCAACGACTCAGGGAACTCAAGTGAAGAAGCCCCCTCGGCTGAAGCAGTCATTACCTCAATTCAGAGAGCTGCCCGTAGCAGGTGGTGATCTGCCCTGGGACACACAGCCACCAACTCTTAGGTAGGACTTGACCCCAGGTTCTTCTGACTCTGAGGCTGGCTCTTTATCCACTAAGCCACCCTGCCTCTCACTGGCAGACTGATCTTCCTAAAATGCCTCTTTCATCATGTCACTCCCTTGCTCGGCAAACTCTTTATTCTCTTTTAGATCATATGCTAATTATTCAACCTGGCATGCAAGGCCCCCGTAACCAAATATCTCCCACTATGTCCTTATACAAACTCTTTACTTCATTACTCCCCAGAGACCTTACCTGTTCCTATATCTTCATGCCCTGTTCCCTTCACGAAATGCCCCCTTCTTATTTCTACTGCTGCAGACTCTAAATCTCTGTAAAGGTCAGCTGAGGTTCTATCTCTACCATGGCCACAATGATAATCTTTCATCTTTTTGCCTAAAAGTCCGAGGCAGGAGGCAGCTGGGCGATTCAGCTTAGGTAGAATGCTGGACCTGGAGTTAGGTAGACCTGAGTTCAAGTGTGCCCTCAGGAAACTAGCTAAGTGACCCTGGGCAAGACACTTAACCTCTGTCTCCTTCAGTTTTGAGATCTGTAAAATGGGTACAACGATAGCACCTACCTCCCAGGGCTGTTGTGAGGATAATAAAATGAAATAACATTTGTAAACTGCTTTGCAAACCTTAAAGTATGACATAATAATATTAATAATATTAGTAGTCCCTGCTATGAGTGATAGGACCAGGGTTAAGGTGGGTGGTGTGGTTATGGAGCTCTGGCAGCTAGAGAAGGGGGCTCCATTATTAACTCCCAAAGGAAAGGATTCCTATAAAGTGGCTCCATTAGTCTGTTCATATATTAGTCTGCATGCTGTTATCACCCCATCCCACCCAGTCCTGGACACTGCTGATAATATAGAGCCACTAGCTCCTTCTCCTACTTAAGACAGCGGCTGTTTCCTCCTCTGCCACCATCTCTCCCTCCCTACCCTGACATCTCAAGCCAGTTAGACCCAGCATCTGAAAAGCAGACTTAACTATGTCAGAAATGTTTCCTTAGCATTTGTCAAACACAGGGAGCTGTGGGAGGCAGTAAGGATACATACAGGTAGAAGACAACTCCTGCCCTCGAATCTGGTTGAGTTGACAAGTCATAAACACATAGGGGGAGAAATGACAAAAGGTTATGGTGCTAGGTATCCAATAAGCAGCACAGACAACAGTGGATAAAGTGCCAGACTTGGAGGCAGGAAGATCAGAGTTCAAATCCTGCCAAAGAAAATTATCAGTAGGGTGAGCATGGGAAAATCACAATAATCAGCACAGACAATAAGGGTTCCAGAGTTCTGTGAGTGAAGAAGCACTTCAGCTATCACAACATCCCCTCATTCCCACTACCCCAACCTCGATTCAGTCACTCATTTCTTGCTTTGACTACTGTGATATATAACTGGTCTCCCTGCCAATCCATCCTACACATTGCTTCCCCCAATAATCTTCCTAACACTTCAATCCTGTCACTACTCAAAAACTTTCGATGGCTCATCATTGCCTAACAAGTAAACTACAGATTCCTGATCCTGACAAATGAGGGCCTTCACAGTCTGGCTCCTCCCTACCCTTCTGGTCTTTTAAAATGCTGCTCTCTCTCACATGCTCTAAATTTTACTAAATGAGACAATTTTCCATCCCTCTGTTCTCATCCTTCCCTCTCCCTTCTCTGTGTCTTTATCCACACTCTCCCCTATTGGGGAATGAGCCTCCCCACCCTCTGTCTGAAGCCCTTTCCTTCTTTCATAGCCTACCTCAAATCTCACATACTCTATGAAGTATTTTCCCAAAGACCAGTCCCTTCTAAAAAAGATCTCTCCCTGCTCAAATTTCTCATGGCACTTTGTCTTGACATCTCCTTTGTATTCTTCTCACTTTGCTTTATATCAGAGTTATTTGTGCATATGTCTTTCTCCCTGTTTGATTATAAGGCAGCTAGGTCAAACAATGGATAGAGTGCTGGACTTGGAGGCAGAAGACCCGGAGTTCAAATCCTTCCTCAAACACTTATTAGCTGTGTGAACCTGAGCAAGTCACAACCTCTGACTGCCTCAGTTTCCTCATCTATAAAATGGAAACAATAGGGTCATTGTGAGGATCAAATGAGATAATACTTAAAAATTGCTTTGAAGTGCTACATAAATGCTATTACTGTTGTTGTTAGTTTCTTGACAGCAGGGTCTATATTTTAACTATCTTTGTACTTCCAGTGCCTAGCACATAGTTGGTAGTTAATACTGTAAGTGTTTGTTGAATTTAACCAATCAATCTGCAAATGTTTATTAACCCCCTACTATGGGCCAAGCACAGTGTTAGGCCCTAGGGATAGGACAAAAGGGAATCATTCATTGCCTTTGAGTTTACATTCTAATGGGGGAGACAAAATGCCCCTCTGTACATACAGACAAAACATATAGATGAAGACT